TTTTTGTGGTAAAATTAGGTGCCTCAGCTTATATTCGGGTCGGCCTATACTCGAGTATATACGGGTATTCTTTTAATGTACTGTAGTCCACTGTATATACCAACATTCCAAAAATATCAGAGTAATGGTTGGTACATTCCTGTGAAGTTGGGGCTCATGAAATGCTATCAAAGGAAGTGCTTGTGTCAGAAAGCTTTTTACTGAAGGATGCCGTAACATCTGAAACTGAACATGTCATTGTGACTAAGATGGAAAAAGGCAACTTGGTATTCTGTATACATTTTAATGTATTACTTTCTTGGTTGCCTTGCCTGAGTCTTCTGGAGTTGTAATTCAGGACAGCTGAAGGGAACCTGGTTCCATACCACCACATTAAGCTCTCTCGTCTACATGTTTCATACTCAGATTGATTGAGAGCTAATCTATTTTCTTTCCTTCTCAATTTTCACCTATCAGTTTTGGACACTGCTGGTCAAGAAGAGTTTGGAGCTATGCGGGAACAATACATGCGTACAGGAGAAGGTTTCCTCCTTGTTTATGCTGTCAATGACCGGGGCAGGTGAGATCAAAGCTGAAGCATTTACATGCGATGAAAATCTTTTCTTCATTAGGGCTAAGATGTGTATGCCATTGATTGGGTGAGACTTTGACTGAAGATATTTGAGGTCAGGATTTTCACATTTTCTTTCTCTTTCTCTTTCTTCTTTGCTCAATGTTTTTACAAAAATGCAAAAATATCATCTGTAGCTTACAGCATGCAGATTGTTCAGTCTAAGGGGGCCAGAGAAAGGCAGGCTGGGATGTAAAAGTTTCAAAAGTATTTCCTGGCTTTTCCTTCCCGTATTAGGTGCTTAAAAATTGGCAGTGCTGGGGTTATTGGGAGGGAAATATTTTTGATAGTTTAAATTACAGTTAGTCATGTTTATACTTACTAAAGCTGCTATTAAAGCAATTACCAAAAAAAAAGTTCTAGACCAGAGGGGGTTCCTACTGGTTCGGCCTGTCACGCCCCCAAATGGGTTCTCTCTGTCGCATTGTAGGCGGCACCATCTTGGTTTTTTTTTTAGTACTTTGCATGTGTGTGAAAAGCGCGCCCACCGCATTCTTGAGCAAACCAGCAGTAGCAGCAGCCGGAACCCAACCCTGTGCTAGACCCAATAAGCTTTAAAGTGCCTGGCCAGAGCATTATGCTAAACCATAAAGGGATCTTTCTCATTTAGGATATTGTGTGAGTTCAGTATATTCATGCCTTTTACACAGTTAAAATAAACAAAGGTTTAGAAAGCCATTGTGGCTAAATCACTACACAAGAAATATATGAATTTTAAAATGCCCAGGAAGCTCAAACAGACTTTTGATATTAGAATGTTCACCAGAAAGTCTCCTGAAATGTAAGAAAAACTTGTAGTGGTCTTGATATTGGCGTAGTGATTTTGCTTCTTCTTTTAGAAGCAACAGGAGGGAATTCTTCATTAGGAAAATAATAATAGTATATCTGGGAAAAGCACATTAAGGGAAATCCTCCTTTGTTTTACTCCCATTTATTTGTCATAGTTTCAATGAAATCCACAAATTCCACACTCAGATACTTCGAGTGAAAGACCGTGATGAGTTCCCTATGGTCCTTGTTGGCAATAAGACTGATCTGGATCATTATCGACAAGTGAGTAGAGGTGTTCACTGAGTATTGTGTTTTAATCTCCACATAGTAGGATTTGGTGGTAAGTTAGGAGTTTAATTTTAAATGCAGCCTAATGTGCTTCGTCTGTCTAGCAAATCCATCAGTTTATAGACAATACAGTATAGGCAATCAGGTTGATCTCACCTGGTGATTGATTCCCAAATTCATAAGGCTTATTATAATTTTTAGGAACAAGGAAGAGCTCACCATCCTGCGCTTTAGGGAAGAGAATCACACCTTAGATAGTTGCAGGCTTAATTGTCTAACTGGTAATGGGATTATAATAGGTTTACTAACACATTTCAATTTATCCTCCCCATAAAGAAGTTGCTGAGATGTGAATACCATGGCACCCCGTAACAATTTAAAGTCATTGAGCTTGCCATCATTTTTCATACTTTTGACTGCCCATTGCATATTATGTGCAAATATACACATATCTGATTCTTCTTGATTAAGCAGGGATTGCTGGCAGGACCTTGATGAGAACCTGGGCTTCCTAATCAATGAAAACAAGAGCACTTTTCTTGTATTGCCGAAGTATATTGGCACCAAAGGAGAGACAGGTGACAGGCATGACGTCTCCCAAAGCTCCTGAATCTGCGGCTGCTGGCTCTCTTGCTTTGTGCTTTTTATACACATACCTACATAACCCACCCTACATGGGGCTGCCATTTCCCCCTCCCAAGACTCCATTTCCAAGGAAAGGAGAGCGCTGGGGAGGCACTGGACTTTCCCACTGCCCTGGCTCCTCAGCCTCAGCTTTGCTCCTGAATGCCTGCAGGCCACTTTTCTGGTTGAGCTCTGCCAGAACTTGGTTCTGGGAGAGACCCTTGGAGAACCGAAGGGGGGCTGAGGGCAAGGGGTGAGGAAAGGCTGATCTTTGCCTTCTCTCCCAAAAGTGCTCCTTGGGCACAGCCACTTCTGCTGCAGGAGACGTGCCCCTCGTGCCTTCTGAGGGGTATTGTACAGCAGCTATCCACAATTTCTATACCATTATTTCGTCACGACCCACATGGCCCAGTACGGTGTTAAAAGTTAACATTTAGAAATGTTGCCGCAGCTGTGGAGGAAAGGACGATGTGCAGGAAAATCACCAGCACCACCACCTACACATAATTTTTTCAAAGAGGAGCCCTATACAGATGCACTTCCAAAAATGCTCCTCCATGGCTTCGGAGCCTCCAGTCTTGCAGTCCTGTGTAGGGAAGGCAGAGATTTGCTCTGAAGCTGCAGCAACAGAGCCTTGCACAGGGAGACCTCCGCATCTATGGTATAATTTCTGAAATGTTATCTTTTAACACCGTACTGGGCTATGTGGGTCAGGATGAAATAACAATAAAAAAATTGTGGACGGCTGCAATACCCTTCAGAAGCATGAGGTTTGTGGGGCACGTCACTTGGCCTCCTGCTGCTTCTGTGGCCACAATCAATGGCAAAAGTGGCCATGCTTGCTGGAGGCAGTGGCCGGAGTGGCACCTACGAGGCACCTGTTCTGTGGACAGAATTGCCTGCTGTGACTGTCACTGTTAGGTAAGAAGGACATGGGGCGTGTGGAGTGTGTTGCTTGGCCTCTGGCTTATTTTGCAGCCACAATTGGATGCAAAAGTGGTCACACTTATTGGAGACAGTGGTCGGAGTGGCTCACCTGTTCCATGGGCCCCAAATAAGGGGCTGTGCAGCCCTGAGGTGCCCAGGGAAGGGAAGGGCTGCCTCCTGTGCTGGCCATGCCTACCCACTTCAATAGGGCTTATTTTGGGGACAGGGCTTATATTAGCCCTACCCCCCAAAAAATGGGCTAGGCCTTACTTTTTGAATAGGTCATATTTTGGGGAAAACACGGTAGATTTCCACATCTAAGAGATTTGTTTATTTAATACAGCATTTATGTTAAATATAGATGGGAAAGTTTATAACAATTTGTAGACCTGTTATGTAAGGGGAGGAGAACATGCTAGGTTTCTTTTATTTATTTTTCAGCATCTATTCAGGGTGGATTTTTTTTAATATTTAATGTTAAATCTATTTGACATTTGGGATTTTTTTTTCTTGCTTCTTTCTTTTTGTGCACCAGGTTTTTTTTCATTAGTGTTGGATGTTGGTTTTTCTGTTTTGTATTTTATTTCTGTTGAAAAAGAAAATAAATATGTTAAAAACATATTAATGAAATAAAAAGAAAACCATGAAAATATATTGATGGGAGAATAAAAGAGGGAAGGTGGGGAAGCAGGCAGCAAGGGAGGAAGTGGGGTTTGCTATTAATCTAGTAGCCACCACCCCCATTGGAGACACAGGCCAACCAGCAGGGCCAGGCCGTCATGCTATTATGGAATGATAAGGAAGTGGAGGCAGCTCTCTTTTTGACAGGTAGGATGTTCCAAATAGCAAGTCCAATGGAAGAGAAGACTCTTCTTCCCGATCCTGATAGTTGGATTTCTTTGACCAATGGTATCCACAGTATTTCCTGTCTGCTGGCACGAGTGGGATGGGCTTCTTCTAATAGGACTTAATATGGGGCATTCTCAGGAGCCCCAGAGATGTCTTTTGCTGCCACATTTGAAAAAGCTTAAACTTCCAAATGGATTCCAGGCATTGATGGGATTCACTTACCTTTGCTACCGGTTCGCACTGGCTCACACACTCACTTTGTTCACATGCACCACCTTCTGTGCATGTGCAGAAGGTCATGCATTACATCAGGGTAGGTGGGCAGAGCCTCCAGCTGCCGCCACTACCGGTTCCCCCGAATTGGTAAGAACCAGCTGAATACCACCTCTGATTCCAAGCTCCATTGTAGAGTGCTTTGCAGTAGTCCAGTTGAGAGATGAATAGGGATTGAGTAACTAGGGAGTCATGATCCAGGAAGGGTCACAGCGGGTGCAGAAACTGGAGCAAGGTAAAACTTCTCACATCTGCCACCTGCTCTTTGAGCAGGAGTCATGAATCTAGGAGATCCCCTGAGTTGTAAATGGGACAGTGTAATCTAGCAGTCAAAGTCTATATCAGGAGAAAGGGAGGAACTGGATTAAGATAGCTGATGAACATTGAATCGGACCTTTGCAGAAGCTTCCATGTAGGGGATTCGGTTCTCCCTACCTAGAACCAAGGAAAGGAAAATGTACCACTGCTGTAGTTGAGGAGATGGAGAAATATTGGCTCAGTCTGGAAGATCTGGGCTTTAGTGAATGTCGTTTCAAACCCAGGGTATTCATTCATACTCTTTGGTCTTCAAAAGGGTAGCAGTGGACTTCCTCATAATTCATTCATGATTCTGAACCCAAGGAACAGAAGTATCAAATATTGTCAGTGCCTCTTGTCCCCAAAAAACATATTACTCTATATAGTGTCCACTAGTCTCCCAGATTATGAAGCCTGCAAAAGATTGAAGAGAGGAGCTTATACTGACAGCTCCAAAATTGCCCAACCTCTTACTTGGACCTGGTCAGCCTGTTGACATCCTGACTATGGAGCCTCCTGCCATTATCAAATCCTTCACCTCTCAAGTCATATATTTACCAACGTAGGATAGACGGAATTGCCCCAGTTAAGTTCCAAAATTTCAAGAGAATGAGAAAAATCATCTTGATTTAGGGAAAGAAGCACTTGGAAAAACAGGGGGACAAAAAGGCATGATAGATCCCTCTATCCCTCCCAACACCCCTTTCTTCTTTTGTTTCTCATCTTTACATTTTGTGTTAGCTCAACAAATAAGGGACTAGAACAATGGTGGGCATACCAGTGCCAGCTGGGAGCAGCAGCCACTGTACTGGAATGATGCTCATTCCATACCTCTATTTGAACTAACCGGGCCATTTGCGCACGCGTGTGCAGTATATGGCGCCTGCATGACCTCCGCTGAGCAGCTGGAGTGTTGCAGTGCAGTGGGTGCGCATGCGTGTGCAGCGCGCGTGCCCATGGTGGACGCCTGACCCTGTTGGAGTGTACTGGTTGCGACAGGATCCAGAACCCATCACTGGACTAGAACCATGAAATTGATGATGTTACATCTATTCTGACTGTGAATACTATACTATATTCATATTATAGTAAATAATCATTATTTTGTCTCCCTTATACTGCTGTATTTCATGTATTTCTGTATTAAGGTCTTATTTACCCTTATTGACAGGTAACTGAAGAGGAGGCCCGTTACTTTGCTCGGGAGAACCGAATCCCCTACATGGAAGCGTCTGCAAAGGTCCGATTCAATGTGGATGAGTCTTTCTATGAGCTGGTCCGTGCCATCAGGTAAGAGGAAGGTGGTTGGGGTTGAAGCCAATGCTGTGAAAGAACTGAAACTCCCCCAAACTGAAGAAAACTCTTTTCTAGGACAGCATCCCTCAGAAAGGCTTTTTCTGATTAAATATTTACTTCTTTTTATCTTTCTTTCTTTCGTTTAAGCCAGGAGTAGTCAACCTTTTTATACCTACTGCCCAATTTTGTATCTCTGTTAGTAGTAAAATTTTCTAACTGCCCACCGGTTCCATATCAATGGTGATTTATAAAGTAGGGAAGTAACTTTACTTTATAAAATTTATAAAGCAGAGTTATAGCAAACCCCTACCGCCCACCATGAAAGCTGAAACGGCCACTAGTGGGCGGTAGGGACCAGGTTGACTACTACTGGTTTAAACTCTGTCTTTCTGTTCACATCATTTTCAAGATAGTTGACAATAATTAAAAATAAAAAAGTCAATGCAACTGAAATCAAGCCGAAATTACAACTGATTCTTGTAAAACAAAATAAGTTTATCAGTTAGAAACTGAAACTGGGCTTGTTTGCTTGATGGCTGCTTTTAAGGGCTTTTGAAGTGTCAGGTTGAAGACCATGTGAAATCAATCTCACTATTAAGCGATCTGATGCATGTACATTTTCCAATATTAGCTATTCCATACATTTTTATAGAATCAGATAGTGATCCATCAACTTTCTTTTGTGATGCAAACTTCTGCCTGATATTTCAGACTGTGGCTACATTAGGCAGCTGTGTCCAAAATCCCAATTTGGGCCTAGGAAATGCACATGGCTACTCAGTAAAGATTCCAAAACAAGGTGGAATATGGAGTTTAAAGACCAAAACACTAAGAGTTGCATTGATGAGGGTGACAATAGGGATTTCTGCTATGAAACCTGGTAGCATGTAGGTTCCTGCTTTCTACAATTAGTCCTCGATTTATGACTGGTCACTTAGAGCGGTTGTTCAGTGTTATAGCAGACCAAAACAAAAAGGTACTTATTCTCAGATTTGAAGCCTTCATCTGGAGTCATGCGATTGCATTTTAAGAGCTTGGCAACTGGTGTGCATTTATGGTCATTTATAGTATCCATGGTCATGTAATTATAAGTTCCATTTTTTGCTAGCAACCAGCATTTACTTTCAGTTCCCAGCAAAAAAACACCCACTGTGGACTATGAATTCACTTAACAACTATTCACTTAATGATAATTTGTTTTAACAATCATGGCAATTTGCTTAAGGACTGTTGCAAAAAATGTCTTAAATTTGAGTTGGTCGTGTGATGACCTGCTTGGTGGCCAGCATGGCTAATGACTGTAATTATGAATTGATTTACAGTTGTAAGTCAAGGACTACCTGCATTTAGAATTGTATTATTATTGCCTACCATTTGTGGAATCACAAGCTAAAGATTTGAATTTTTTTGTGTGGTCTGTAATAAAGGGCCATCCAGCAGAGGGAGTGGGATGAGAATGATCTTGGTTGTCCTCCAGCCACAACATTTCCTGGAAGCTCGCACAGTGTAGTCCAAGGGAGTGGTTGTCATCTGTTGGATACCCGAAGCATTAGTACACTGTTTCTGACTATATAGCCTCCTGGGTAGTAGCAATTGCCCCCTTCCAGGGATATAAATAATGTTTTTTCAAGTGGTGCTTATATTATGTAAGAACTTTTCCACAAAGTAATGTGATACAGCATTACACTGTTTAACGCCTTGCTTCCTTTGCTTACTTCCAATTTTCTTTTTCTTTTTATGGCAGGAGGTTTCATGAATTGGAATCTCCCCCTGCCCCGGCCTTTCACCCTAAAAAGAAGGATCGCAAAAGCTGTCCTTGTTCCCTTCTGTAAACTGCCATCCCACATGAAGCCACACAGCCTGGAAGAGGAAGAGGAGAGGCTGAGAGTCCTTCCAACCAAGAAGACAGAGCAGGATTTTCCTCCATCTCTCCTACTACAATTAGGGCTGACACTGTGTATTTTTTTAGCTACACAAATGTATTACCATTTTTCTCTCATTGCACAGGAGTCTGTAAACTGAGAAGAAAGCAGGGATTCGACAAGTTCTTCTCTTCAGACATATCCTGAATCTATGGGATGTGCATTCAGATTTGTTTGCTACTTTGCCTTCTTCCATGGAAATCGCTTTAAAGGTGCTTTTTGCCAAGGGGCAGAAAATTTATTCATTTGGATAAAAGTGGCACAGGATTGTAAATTTCAGTGGCAGTCTACTGATACAGTGAGTTAAAGAATAGGAATCAGTTGCAAAGGATCATTTATTTCACTGCAGCTAAGGGCAAGCTTTTGCACATACACAGTTATCTACATATTGAAAGACATGGTACAAATGCATTTTAAAAGGTACTATCATTTTTCTATTCCTTTTATAAAAAAAACACTACAATTTATAGACATAAGCCACACATGGGCCAAACTGCAAGGGAAGCAGCTGCAGACACAATTATACTGTCTTGTCAGTTGCCAGTATTGACTTTTTCGTTCCTAAAGCAGAGCTAAAAAGAAACACACTTTATAGCAGTGTTTTTCCAAACTTAACAACTTTAAGATGTGAAGACTTCAATTTCCAGAATGTGTGGATCTCAACTCCAGCAAGAAGTCCCCAGCCAGCAGCTGAAGTCTTCAAGTTGCCAAGTTTGAAAAACAATGCTTTACAATAAGGAAATGTGTAAAGTTGGAGGGAAGTGGGGGAGCTAGCCAACTCTTTGATATTTTAACAGAAGATTGTGATGGCTGTCACAATATCATTGCCATATTGTGAGAGTCACCTAATCACAAAGCAGTTACTATGATAGGTATGATCAATTACAAAATACAGCATTGTTGAGCAACCACAATTTATTGCAGGGAAATTGTACCACTGAGCAAAATGATGACTAAATGAACCACATGACATAGAGAAATGCTGCACAGATCACTCATTCTATTTCATTCAGAAAAAAAGTTTTCACATATGGCACTGCCAGGGTTACTCTCCAGGGTGTATCGTTGTCAGTGCAGAAATTAGGTCATATGTGTACACATTGGTCAGAAACTGGCTTTTTTTTACTACTAACTACTGCTGTCGTATTTGTGAGCAGCCATTAACTGCAGTAGTTGCTAAACAAGAACTGGCTGTTTCCATCATGCCAATAAATGGTGATGCTTCCTGCAGAACCACTTACTAGGCTCTCAATGTTCTACCACCCTAGCTTACATTTTAAGATGGTGAAGGTTCGAAACCTGAAATGCATGCTAGAATTAAGTTTCAGTTTTGTAAATTGCTCAGTTCCAAAATTGCTCTGTTGAAGACATGGCCAGCTTTTCTTAAATTCATCCTTTCTTCCCCACTTCTGTAATGTACTTGTAAGGGAAAGTGACATCAAGAACTTAAAAAAACAACAACTCTTTGTGTAAGTAATTTTTCTTCTTAGTAGGAGTTCCCATCATCTTTAGAGATACTATCATGTTGAAGTATACCATCATTACTGAAGTATCAATACTGCAGTTGCATACATGTTTAATTGGATGATTTTTGCCAGTGGGTCCTTCCACTCTGGCATGCCATTCAACACTTCCATCTATCATTTTCATTGTCTAATTCTTCCATCATCCATCACCTTCCCCAGACCTCAGATGTGTTAAGATTACAATTATCAGATGATATTAGGGTGGGAGTAGTGATTAATATATTCAATCTGGACCTCTTTGTTTATGATTATAGAAGCTTGCTGAGTCAGTTGCTACCTCCCAGTCACCCTATCAAGAAGATATGGGGAAAATAAAGGGGAAAGTGTTAGGCCTTGGACAATATACAAGATATAGGACAAACTTCTCAGCAGACAAGACTAGAGAAGGTATCCTGTGAGACAATCTTCACTTATGTATCTACTGATGCTCCCAGAATATAAAGATTTGCAGTTTATAAAGTGAGTGGATGTATTGAATGTCAAGAGTATAAGTACTGTATCTTGCTTTCTACTCTTCTACCATGTTGCAGAGCATGGCATTCCAGCTATAAACGCCAGAGTCTCCTGAGCAAAGATTATATAGTAAAGCCTTGGGGTTTCCTCCTTAATTACTTAATTAAAACTGATTGTGGCATATGCCCTCATAGACGAGACCCTTTGTTAATTTACAAGGCTACAGTTACAAAAATGTGTTGTAGTGCCAAAGCGAACTCACAAGGCACCATGGATATTTTAAATTTCTAAAGGAAGCAGCAACATTTGACAGACTCTAGCAATGTAATTTAAAGTATCCCATAGTATCCTTGTAAATGTGCTGTTTGTTAAGCCAATGGTTCTGAAATGGCACTATGAGCCAAGAAAGTTTGGGAACTTCTGGTACGGTGTTATTCTAAGGCCAAAAGGAATATGCATACATATATGTTCACCTAGGTACAAGGACACAGCAGGAAAATTAAAAACTGATTAAATGATAAAATGGCCATAGCTTGTGAATGTATGACTTAACCATAATTTTAATAAACGGAAACATTTCCATTACCAGTGTGTAATTTTACTGTGGTGGTAGATAACAAGCACATATAAAAGGTCAACACACTAGGTTAAGGAAGCTGATATACTAAGCCACAATAAGTTTTATTTGGTTGGCTTATTCTGTGAAAAAAGATGTGTGCTATATGAACTTGGCCAATCTTGTAGGGTTAACTCTACAAAGCACTAACTTTCTAACAAATATGAATCTTTTCTAAGGTGTGTGTGTTTGTGTGTGGGGAAATCTTAAGAAATTTCTGGGCCTATTCCCTTTGTTATTACTATTCCTCTTGGTCCAAGTTCCTGGGGAGCCTTATGGCCAGTGAAAGGTTGCCATTCCTCATACGCATCAGCCTTTATGTAATACTTTTACAAACTTTTTGGTAGAACAAATTTCCCCATCTTAAAAAATGGGGTGGGATACCTTTAAAAAAATGCATACTTCTATTATCATTCACTAAATGTATGTGTATGTTTAGATATATGAAGATTGCTATAAGTTTTATGATTGAATTGTCTCTGAGACATTTAACATGACTGTGCACGAAATGAAAAACAGTATGCACTTTTATATACAGAAAGCTTGGGAGGGGGAAAATTTTTGAAATATAAAGTTTATAGTATATTAAAAAGAATTTGTAATGACTCAGTATGAATTAACATGGAGAGTTAAATATGTTCTTTACTAATCATTCTGGAAGTTAAGTATTTGTGTTTAGTGATTTATGATAGCCCCGGAGATATAATTATAAAACTCTGATTTCTCCCAGATAGATATAAAATTGCTTTCTGCAATCTAGAAAAAGTTTAATTCTGAACAATCTTTACAAATCTTGATTTTCTTGAGCAATGATCAATTGGCATCTTACTAGTGGAATTGTATAGAAATTACGTAAGGTCATTTTGACTTAATCAGTACACAGCTTACAATGTGAGTTTTACGTATTGAGAAAAAACAGTAAATTGTGGCAGTCATGTGACTGGACCCAATTTTTCAATGTTTTTTGCTGCAGTCATTAAGTAAATAGCGCTATTGTTAAGTGAATCATATTTTTTTTCCAATGGGTGATTTTTACGTGAAACTGGAAATGCCATAAACTGGCAAAAATATCACAATTGCGGTCATGTGACTGCAGGATGCTACAANAGCTGCTCAGGAGAGTAAGTCTGATTTTGACATGTCTGCAGTCCTTGTCCTCCTTGCCCAGCTTGGCCCTGCTGGGCTTGTCCACTGCTGGAATAACTCTGAGCTTTACTCACACTTGTGAGGTCCTGGGCTTGGTTGCTGCTGAAGCCCTGTGAGGCCTGGCTAACTGAAGAGAGATTTTGTGGCTGGCTGACAGAATAACTCTGTGTTTGGCTCATGGAAAGGAGACTCTGAGGCTGGCCAGGCGAATAGGCCTGTGACTGGCTTGCAATGACAGAGCTGGGCTTGGGTGTGGATGAACTGTAGTTGCTTTGGCACTTGGGCGTGGCTGTAGAACGGGGTGGTTGGCGGGAAGCCGAGTAACTCTTGGATTTTGAAGAAGAGGTGGTACCAGAATAGCCGGGAGACTGAATAATGGGACGGTAGCTTTGAGAGGGCTCTTGCCGCGTAGCCTGAGAGGTTTTCTGCTGCTGAGAGCCTTCGCTGCTGGCGGGGGACTGATCGCCAAGGGGACTGCAGGAAAGGCTGGAGCGGTGGGGCATCTGCTGGTAGCTACCCCCGCAGCTTAGATAATGTTGGAGAGAATGGGCAGCAGGCAGTTGCGGCTGGGCACTAGAAGGTCTCTGGTAATGTTTGATCACGCTATCTTGCCGGGGGATGGCCCGCTCAATGGAAGAGGCAGGGGAACTGGAGAAGACTGAAGTGTTGTAAAGCTGGGACGTCTGGTCAGATGGTCCCAGCGAGGATGACAAAAGATTGAACTGGGAGGGGAGGTGGCGGGAAGCTGATTCTTGAGCGCTACGATATGCTGAGCTCTGAGAGGGTAAGCCTGTACCCAATACCGCACTGCCCAGTCTGTCAAAACTGAGGGATGAAGGAACACTGGGCTGAGAGGATTTGATGTGAAGTAGAGGGTCATGGGGGGACAGTAGGCCATTGGATGTTGGGCTGAAAGTAGCATCTTGGAGTGTCAGGGATGACGTGACTGGGAAGCTGCGTCCGCTGAAAGAGGCTGGATGCTGGTAAGCAGAGAGCGCTGATGAGGAAGGGAAAGTGCCAGAGCCCGGGAGGGCCCCTGAGATGAAGAGTTCAGTGGGTGCCGGAGTGTGCATGGCTGTAAAGAAAAAACATAGTATCTGTTTAGGTACAGTACAATGTACCAAATTAAAAACTAATCCAAAAACATAATCTCAAACTCACACCAGAAAGTACTGAGGAAGCACAGCACACTTAACCTAGCTGCAGGTTAAAAAATTAAACTGCTGTTTTGTTTCACATGTTACATGTTACAATCAAATATATCATGGCTTAATGTAGTAACCAGGTTTATACAACATAGGAAGATGATGGNAGAGCCCTCCAAACCTTTGGGGACTGGCAGTTTGATCTGGGGAAAAAGAAGGGACAGGAATTGGGGGAAGGGAGGTGATGGAGAGCAATTTCCTGGCCTGCTGCTCCCATATGCTGGCTGGTGATCTTGACTTAAGGGCCCTTTTTATTTTAAGATTTTTGTTTTTACTATCCACTAGCTTTCCTGTGGACCGTCAATCAAATCCAGGTATATGCAAATTAAATGCATTGTACATATATCTTTATTTCTTATTTCTGTTTCCAAAATGATACGCCTTTTGAAGAAGCTGGGCATTTTTTCCCCACCCCCAAGCAACTGGGTAAAGAGCGTAAGAGCAGGATAGTACTGCTTGTGCATTAAAGGAATAAACCACAAAGATAGAGCCCTGTGGTACATTATTAACAACCTGTATTTAACTGAAAATCCTGCTTGGTTCAATTTCACTTTTGCCCTTCCTCTAGACACACTCATTTCCTCCACTATCTTGAGGATTAGAGATATTTCTAATTTTAAAAAATCAGAAATGGTGCAGATATTAAAGTGTACACCAGTGACAAAATTTTGCAAAACCTGAGTTATACACCACAAAGGTCTAGTGACCAGTAAACCCATCCCATTCATTCACTGTCGTCAAGTAATCACATTATCTTAGTTACTCACATATACAAGAACCACGCAAACCATTAGTCCATCATCTACAGATTCTGCCAGGACTGAACTCTATGCTAGGGGGGGGAAAACAGCTAATGCTAAAAGTACACGAACACTAAACTTTGCACATCTTACTTTTGATCTCTGCTTAAAGTTTCTTTTTGAACTGACAGATTAAACATTGTTTTAGAACAGCAGTTGTCAAAGTGTGAACTCAGGACCCCTGGGTGTCCTCAAGACCCTTTCAAGGGGTCTGCAAAGTCAAATAAATCTTTCTAAATTTCTGTTTTAATTTCTGTTACAGTACATACCAGTAGATATAATCCACAAACTAAAGCTCTTTGGGGTCTTCTAACATTTTTAAGAAAGTAAAAGGGTCCTGAAACCAAAACATTTGGGTACTGCTTTTTTAGAACATGTTTGAAAGAGGATACACAGAAAGGTCTCCCACATAGTGACACTTTTGATATGAAATCATTGAATGTGGTTGGACTCAAAAGCCATCAGGAACCCAGTGACACCATTTGATTTTCTCACACTCCCACTGGAGGGACAAAAATTAGGAAAAAATGGCCCTGAACCAATTTCTGTTGTCTTGTGAGTGAATGGAAAGAGGTAGGCAAACAGAAGCATAATCTGGGCAAGATGGAAGCACTATTGATTATCACATTTGCGGATCTAGAATGAGATGTATCACAGGCCCCTTAAAATGAAACACAAAGTTTGGGAGGAACAAATACTAGTCTTGAATTTCCATATGTCCATGTGGTACACAAGCACAGGAGTGCTTTTCAGCAGCTTCTGCAGTTGCATCAGCTGGATCCTTTCTTGAAGAAACATACCTAAAAATGGTCAAACAAGCCTTAATTGTATAACAAGTAACCTTACATTAAGTCAGATCACCAGATGTTTCTGGTCAATACTAATCAATATGCTGACTGCTAATAAGGTTGATTATCTCCATGTATTATCTCCAGCTGTTACATAGGAATGTCTCTATCCTAAGGTTACCAGACGTCCCGATTTTGGCGGGACAGTCACGATTTATAANTTAACTGCTATTGCTATTGCTAAAAGCTGTAAAAGTGAACTGGCTGCCAAATGGATAAAATTCATTTAATTGACCATATCGAGGGGTAGAATTGTGGCCATTACAATTTGGAAAAAAAGGGCCTCAGTAATTTTGGGGGGGAAATCCATCATAACTTAAATGCAAAATCATTATGCAACAAGTTATAAATTGAGGACTACCTGCATATAAAGTATCCATGAAGCTACCACTGGCAATAGAATTTTCGAACAGATTCTGACCAATGAGAGGTGCCTTTGAAATTAACAGAAAATACACAGATAGAACAGTCCCAATAGAAAATATATAAAAGACCAAAGAAACTTTATGATGTTTTGTTAACATTATTGGAAAGATTGTCTGTGCCACATAGGGGTTTTCTAGTTTGTAACTAATATGGCACTGCTATTTTGCATGGCAGGTGCACCTCCGATGCAGTGGTATGGATAATCTTCCAGCCAACAGGAAAGTCCAGTGAATAGAAAGTAGAGCTAGGAATAGCATTTCTAATACCCTTTAAGGATCGCACAGGAGGAAAACATTAAGCAAGGGATTTTGTAAACTTCAGAATATGAATGAGACCATCCAGATGTTGAGACCAAGAGCCAGTGTTTCATGCTTCAATGGGAAAAACAGACTTAGACATATTTCCCCCGTCATTATTTTAGAACACTACTGCCCTCCTTTTTCCCATGGCCACCCAAGTCTCAACCAAATGAACAAAACTCTGCTTCAGGCATTTGATTTTTGCAAAGAAAAGTGTTTTTTTGTCATTTTGTTGTGTACACAGTATACAATGTGAGTTTTACATATTGAGAGGAAAAAAAACGTCTCAGACACTAATAATAAACAATAAAAATATATAGGAACATCCAATAATACAGAACACAAATCCCATATCTCAGAACAATACCCTTGAGGCGCGAACAAGATACACAGAAATACACGTCGTAAAAAAGGGGGGCCTTTCAAGATCCAAATATAAGGGTAGGTGGCGGAGGAGGAAAGTCTCTTTTTGTCACAGGAAATTGAGCTGTACATGTCTTTGTGTGTTCGTGTGTATGTGTGTTGCACTTGTCCTTGATCAACTCAGAGCTGGGACTGTCCAATTTTGAGAGTTCAGGTTTGGCTACTCTTGTCCCTCCAACTGGGAGCGATGGTTTAGGTTCTGCATGGAATTGATGGTGCAAGTGTTTTGTCCCAAGAAGTGCCAAGGCTCTAGGCCCCTCTAAAATTAACCCTGTAATATGAAAGATCCCCCCAACTCTATTCTCTCAATTCCCCAAACCCCTGTTCAGCTAACCCCATTCCCACACTCGGCTATCTGTCACAATCCATCACTTCTAAGGCCCACAGCTACCAATAACCTGGTCTATCAGGAAAAGATGGCTTTTTTTAATTTAAAAAAAAAACCTGAATTGCAAGGATCAAAATACTCAAAAGGAACCCCCCCCCCTTTAGAACCTTTGTTTAGGGCACATTAACCAGGTTCCATCTTCCCCCTCAACCATGCATACTTCCATACACACATGCCAACCTTGCCTTTTCATCCGCAATAAATAAGGAGGGGAGGAGGAGACAAAATGAGACCCAACGGTATCGGAGTACCGGGAACTCTGACCTAAGCAACCAAACTGGTCTTAATACATTTCTCTGTTTGCTGATCCAGGGAGAGATTTGTCTGAAGTAGGTCTTTATGATGAGAACATCAATTCTGAAATGGAATTTGTTTCCCCACTATCCTTGAAGTACCTTTTCACACCTTTTCCTTGATACCCAAAATTTGGAGGGGGAAGTAGAAGATACTGGAGCAATTTCCGTAACTTCTGTTGATTTGGGCTGGCAGAAAGAAACAGCAAGTTTTGGAAGTTCTAAGAATAGGAGGGCAATTCAAATGGAGGAATGTTAAGTGATGAAGGAAGAACACAGCTCTAGAGATGGGCTAGGAACAAAGGATGACTTGATGTGGGGGGGGGGGAGGGAAGACAAATTCATTCATTTCATTCAATTTATACAGCCGCCCACCTCAAAGAAGTGACTCTAGGTGTGAAAGAAGGAGAAACAGCAATGGAGGAAGAATGAGGTAGACTTTAGCAAGAAGACAGGAATCAGACATAGGAAGATCTACATTCAAGTAAGGGATTGCTTTGGGAGGTTAGAGGAAGATCTGGGGTGAAGAAGGCTAATGGTTGGCCAAAGTATGTGTTTGATGTACAGGTAGTCCTTGATTTACAACAATTCATTTACTGACTGTTCAAAGTTGCAACAGCACTGGGAGAAAAAAGACTTATGACTCTTTTTCACACATATGACTATTGCAGGATCTCCATGGTCACGTGGTCAGAACTCAGGCACTTGGCAACTGGCATGCATTTATGACAATTGCACTGTCCCAGGGAGGTACGTGATTGCCATTGGTAACCTTTCCAGCTGGCTTCCAACAAGCAAGTCAAAGGGGGAAGTCAGATTTGCTTAACGACCACATGATTCACTTAACAACTGCACCGATTTGCTTAACAATTGTGGCAGAAAAAGTCGCAACATGGGGCACAACTCACATAAGACTGTCCTGCTTAGCAACATAAATTTTGGGCTGAACTGTGGTCATTAAGCCGAGGAGTATCTGTAATGGGAAAGATTACTTGGGGGTGGGGTGGGGGGGGGTGGCAGACACACATAAGAGACTGGATAGGTGGTTGAGGGACGGAGAGCCCACTTGGGAGTTGAAGAAAGGGCAATTAAGACAAGATCTTCATCCTCTGGCTCATTAGAGTTTATTTTATCATTTCAGTTTTAGGGTTAGAGAGGGAGCTTTGTTTTGGAGGCAGATTGGGGTGGGGGACATAAAATTTCCCTTTCCCCCTCAGTAACAACAACAATGATTAAAAAAAATTAACAACCTCCTAATGAAAGTTTCAGTCGAAACCAAGAACATCACAGCTACAGGTGAAAGGAGAGAGAGAGAGGGAGGGAGGGAGGGAGGGAGAGAGAGAGAGAGAGAAACTCCTGCGCATCATTAAGTTCAAGTTAGTCAAATACAATATGATACATAGACTTTTTTTTATCCTATACAGTATATACAGATGCAGGGAGGGGGGAGCAGAATCCTGCCTTCTCATACACTGTAATATGGGGAGAATGGGGGGGGGATTTATCCCTCCCTCACAGAAGTGCAGATCTACCACTGGGGAAGGGACTTATCTAAAGTCCTTTATACAATTCCTCCCATGATTCAAGGGGAGGGGGGGTGCTAATTGTGAAATCTGGGAGAGGGGAGGGGAATTTCAGAAGTTTTGCTAGTCTTGGCAGGCTGCTCTGGATGTCACAAGGCTCCCCTGCCCATATACTACTCTCAATTCAGAAAGTATAGGGGAAGTTCCACATACCCAAATGAGCTAGAATTCCCAATTCAATGGCAAAAAGGGTGAATCCCCCCAGCAGCAATTGCCCCCTGAAAACACAAAGGGAGGGAGGGAGAGAAAGGGAGGTTTCTCCAGAAAGAGAGAAAAATTGGTGCTACCAATTACGATTGGGAACATGGAGCTTGGCAATAAATATTCCTATTAGAAGCAAAAATAGAAGTGATCGCTATTAGTGTACGGATGGATGGCTTCCCTTCACTCCAAACAACAGTTATTTGGCAGAGATGGGATTAGAGTTGTTGGAGAACAGGGGTCGTACTTCCTGATCAGACCATGGATAAAAGAAGCTAGACACTGTATAAAGGGTGGCCAATACACCACCTCCCCACGCTCAATTCTCAACTCTCCCTAAGGAGAAGTAAAGTTCTTGATGGAAGAGATGGAGGGTAGAACTCCAGGAGAACCTGGTCCTTCTCTTTTCACCAATCTCACTACTGTCAACTCACTCCACGGTGAGAAACCGAGAAGCCCTTTGGCTCTAAATCACACCACACCACCCATTCCTATGACTTTCCAATGAGTTCCCCTACTCTCAATCCCTCCCTGAGCAGGGAGCAAGGCTGTTCAATTAGATATTTATACATTTATATATAANTGAGGACCCAGACTGTGGGGGCGATATGCTGACTCTGTAAACCGCTTAGAGAGGGCTGAAAGCCCTATGAAGCGGTATATAAGTCTAACTGCTATCTTCTTTTGCTGAACTGTGGCTGATGGATACATGAGACAGGGCATTTTCTGCTATAGCATTCAGAGACTCTTCTTTCTTTTTCAATATCCTCTTTTCAGTCAATGGCCCCCCCCAATCCATGTTTATTCACTTCTCTTACTAGTTGTTTATTAGGTAGTAAAATTGAGTTTCCTTTTGATTATTTCCAATATTGCACACTGCTTTATGGGTGGTTCATAGAAAAGCAGAGGATAAATGTTTTCATAAATAAAACATGAACCCATTACCATTATACTTTTACAGAGAAGCAGAGATATAATTCTTTTTTGCATTAAAGCATAGCTAGGCGGCCCAGACATTCAGGAATCAAAATAAACTACCGATTTGTTTGCTGGCTGGCTGACTTTGGCCAATTATTCTCTCTCAGCCCAAACCTCCTCTCAGGGTTGTTGTTGTTGTGAAGAAAATGGGAGGGGGAAGGAGTATTAAGAATGTTTGCCACATTAAAACTCTCTTTTTATTGACCCTGTAATCCCTTAATTTGGGATAGAGTCAGGGCAAATCGGTGGAGCTGAGCATTTACTGGCCAGATGCCCTTCCTGATGCCATGCAGTGTTCATAGCAGATATTTTTTTTCCTTTGTGCCCTAGGAGAGAAACATCTGCTGCTACCTAGGATTGAACTCTCAACCTTCTGACTGGGAGGCGAGCATCTTCACCACTAGGCCACCATGGCACTCTATGTTTGTCACATTAAGCTACTTATAAACTAACAAAGGAGAAATAAAAAAATTCTAATAAACAAACAAATAAATAGTTTTCAAATTTGCACACTGTCGATACATCTCTCAAGAAATGACAACAATACAATACCAGGAATGCACAATCCAGGAAATTTTGGCAAGATTCAAACAGCTCTGTATGAGCAGATAAAATTGTAGACCATCTACTGGAATCAAGGTGCCCTCGCACAACCTGTCATCTACTTGCTTCCCCAATGCAATGAATCACAGCAAGTCTCTAGCAGATGTTCTAAGATTGCCATTACAGCTGTGCCTAATGCCCTCAATATCCTGTTATTCCATAGCATTGATCTGTCACAGTGGTGTCTTGGTGCTCACATTTAATGCTGCCAACATTAAACCAAGCTGTTGGGAGGGGTGGGGATGGGAAACCTGTTTCAGAATAGAATATAAATCAGCAAAAGTTATGCTTAGTCTCCATTAAAAAAAATTCGTGGCAGTCTTGTTCAGAGTGCCAATATCCTTAATTCACACTTACTTATCTTTGCAACAACAAGGAGTAGATGAAAACAAATGAACTCAAATACCAAAGAAAATAAACTACTAATTTTCACACAAACAAATCCTTATCAGTGCAAATTCATAGAGGTAGCTTATGCCAGTTTGTTTAGTGACTGTTTGAAGTTACAACAGCATTGAAAAAAGTGACTAATGAGCATTTCTCACTGTTGCAGCATGTTCCACAGTCATTTGAGCAAAAGTCAGGTGCTTGGCAATTGACTCATATTTACGTTGTTGCAGTATCCCTGTGATAACTTTCTCACCTTTTGCCAAACAAAAGTCAATGAGGAGGTCAGATTCACTTAACAACCGTGTTAGTAACTTAACAACTATAGTGATTCACTTAACTGTGGCAAGAAACACCTTAAATTGGGATAAAATTCACCTAATAATTGTCTTGCTTAGCAACAGAAATTTTTGGTTAACCTGTGGTCCTAGGTTGAGAACTACCAGCATCAGCAAAATGATTATATCCCAAATACATCCTCAATTGGAACACTGAACCTAAACACTTCTTGTGTTTTTTGCCTCCCTTACCCAAAACCCAGCTTTTGTGCCAATGGAAGTAAAAATACAGGTATCCCTCAACTTACATTAACGGAGCCCATGATTTCCATTCTAAATCATGACAATTGTAACTTGGGATATTCACATGACCGGACTCGATTTTAGAACTTTGTGGTAAATCCATGCATTCTTATTGCCAAAAATGCTGGGAATGGACAAAACATTGTAAATTGTGGTCATGTGACCAAGGAACACTGTAACAGGCTGTAAAGGAGAGACAACTGCCAAGCACCCAAAATTCGATAACGTCAGTGGTATGTGTGCCTATTTGTAGCCACTGGAGCTCCAGAATCAGATTGTAAGTAGCTGGGGGAGGAAGCCCATTGTAATGTCTGATCAGATGCTCACTAATGCAAACACGGATATGATATCTCCATGAAAACTATCTCTGCTAGTTCAGTTCCTAACGAAACAAAGTCCTGAGGTATTATTATATCACTTATTATATCAGCGTGGTGATGTACGAATAACTCTCCAACTTCACTGATGCATCACCACAGATAACCTCAGAGACCTAAAACATCTACCCTTTTTTTAATAGGCAGATGCTGTAATTCTGCAAGAGAGCACAACCTTTGCTAACATAAGCTTAGATTAAATCCCTGTTATCTCCAAGGACAAAGACTCAGATACAAGTAAATAGGAGAAACTCGTACTTGAGACCCGTCAACACAAGAGTTGGTCAGAGACAGCACAACGGTGGTTTAGCTAGACACACATGAGCTTCCTACATTCCCTTACTGTTGCATTCTCCATTGAAGTCTCCTTAATAAGCCAATGTTCTATTACTATCCTTTCTACTCCGTACTCTTTCCAAAATTTCCTTTCTTACCCTTAGGCGCTGCTAGTTGACAAGCGCATCTCACCTCCTCAGATTCCCATCTTACCTTGAGTGGTTTGAGGGATTCCAAGCCTGTGCCTGGCTCAACCCCATCCTCCCCGGCTTTCTTGCCCCTCCCTCTTCCCCGGCCGCGGGGCTTCTTGGTGCCATCATGAGCCACACCGTGGGGAGATTCAGTCAGGGGCCGGATGCGGGGCCTCCCACGAGGGCGGGGTGGGCCCTCCCGCTTGGGTTTGGTAGGCTTGCGGCCTCGCCGCTTGGGCCCCTCCATGAGACTGCTGTTTGGTGGGCAAAAGTCT